GTGCCAGAATAATTTTCTCGAACAGCTTGCCCAGGATCGAGGTAAGGCTGACTGGCCTGTAGTTCCCCGGGTCCTCTTTTCTCCCCTTTTTGTAGATGGGAACCACGTTGGCCCTCTTCCAGTCCTCCGGCACCTCTCCAGAGCACCACGAGTGTTCATAAAGCCGTGCCAGGGGACTTGCAATGACCCCAGCGAGTTCCTTCAGGACTCTAGGGTGAAGATCATCCGGGCCAGCTGACTTAAAAATGTCCAGCCCCTCCAGAAGCTCCCTAACTAAATCCTCACTCACTCTAGGCCCAGGTGAGCCTCCCTCGGGGCCCGAAGGGGGCCCAGCAGGGAGGTGGCAGTTCTGGTCCTTACTCAGGAAGACAGAGGCAAAGAAGCACTGAGACAAATATAGCACTGAGCTGGCTTGAGGGTGGAAGGTCACTCCACTTCTGGAGGAACCTCCCTTTCCATTGATGAGTTCCTAACTTACAAGACACGGTAGGCAAGTAGAAGGGAGACCCACCTCAGGTCAGGAGGCTCCAAGAGCCCCGTGGAGGTGCAAAACCAGTGGGCTACAGGGAGGCAATTGGCACAGGGACTGTAATATTCAGGCCTGCAACCTTGCCTCTGGCCCTCCCCCAGGGACAAAGTGGTGCATTGGCCAGGAACCAACCTTCGGTTTTGGGGGGAATCTAACAACCCAGGCTTCAGGATCCATGGACAACACTGCTCTAGGATCTGATGAGTAAGTAGTTGCGGTTGTCGATATATGACCATGATGGCCTTGCCAACCAAGTGCTCTTGGAACATTTTTTAACTGTACGTCACTCAACACTGGGGGAGGCGCCACCTCCCCCAAAACTGCAAGGAGGCATTGTGTTTCACCAAGGCTTTTGCAGTTTCTGAAGGGGAATACAGTAGAGAAAAGCTACCCCCGGTCCATGGAGCAGCAGGATTGGCGATGGTGAGAAGAGATGGTGAGAGATCCCGCTAGGCCCCCCCGCCATGCCAATTAGGAGAACCAGCACCCTCTTAATTCTTGCCCGCCATGTCTTTGATCTTATATAGGTTTATATGGGAGGCTGCCTTTGGTCTCCTAATTTCTATGGGTGACCTGGTGCACCCCAGCCTTATGGGCTACGCGTGCCTCCTACCTCCCCTTTAGCACGCCCCAAGCCTCGCAGCTATTCCAGAAGTTCTTGTGTCTCCAACCTTATACTAGCCCCTCCTGGGCTTTACTCTTGCAGGCTGGCTCCCCTTGGGCCTATGCCACGCGCTTCCTGCGCTCTTCCTCTCGCTGGGGCCTGTCTCTGCGCCTCTTGCGCCCTTGCCCCTCAGGGTGCCTGTCTCGTGCCAACAACCGCACCTGGGCTCAGGTGGCGCACAACCGTGCCTAG